ATATCAATAACTCATTTCCTTTGTTGAATTGCATTTATTTTCAGTTTGATACATATATATTTATTTTTTATATATAAAAATGTGCTTTGATGAATAAGTTAATGATATTCAATTATTTTATTTTTTTATAAATATATTATTTTCAATATTTCTTAAAATTTAAATAATTTAAACCATTACAATATAACCTAAAATGTGTCTCATAGACTCCACAACAACCACGGTTATGCTTACGCATCCCCCACTAAAGGAATACTATTATAGGCATACATAGAATTGTCATTTTGTAGAAATTATATTTATCGGCGGATTTTTTCCCTCAAGTTCTCTCATATTGAGATCTCAATATGAAAGAAGCTTAATTCTTTATTTTATTTTAGAGGCATTTATACACAAGTCTTAATTTATGAATTTATATTCCATTAATTGAGATTTTTTTTAATAGTCAGACTTTCAAGTCACAAGTCTTAACTAAGATTTCTTTTGAACTTTCAAGTCACATTAAATTTTTAATAGTCATAATTATCTTTCAGACAATAATTGTTTATCATTTATGATTATCTATAAAGGAACATGATAATTTGACATTTATTTTGATTTTCAAAACTTTAAAACATCAACTTTCAAATTAATAAAACTAAAATATATATATATATATATATATGTATTTATAAAAGATCATGATGGTGGAACATTGATGTGTAAAATTGAAAAAAAAAATATTAATAATGTTCTCAGCTTTAAAATTGAAAAAAATTAATAATCTTCTCAATTTTATTAGATAGTTGAATCAAACCAATTAGTAGAAAAGCAAAAACGTTTAATCTTATTGAGAGGGTAATTTTGAGTGAAAATTGGGCCGAGCTATGAGACGGACTTTATGGCCCAAAGTATGACGGACTGAGTAAAAAGGGCCGAAAAGTTACTCAGGCCCAAGGGAGATAAAGTTACTCCGGCCAAAAGAGATGAAGTTACTTCGGCTCGTGAATTGTTAAGCTACTTCGGTCCGAAAGCAACTTGAAGTTAGATCGGTCTTGAAGGTACATCATTCTTGAAATTATACCGGCTTTAGAGGTATTCCGGTTTTGGAGTTATACCGGTCGAAGAGTCGTTGGTTCGGTCCAAGCACACCATGAGTTGAACAAATGAGAACCGAGATAAGGAAATATAAGCGGAAAGGGCCGAACTAAGGATAGTTCGGCCTACTTTGTGGCTCAGCATAGCCAGGTTTATCTCGGTCGGATGATAGTTCGGCCATGGTGAAGACCATTCCACGTGTAAAAAGATAAGCATTATCTTTTAGGAGCATGAATCCTATGAGGACTCTGCATGGAGAAATAAAAGTCCTACTAGGATTGGGCCACTCGAAACCTATAAAAGCTCACAAGCATCACCTTGGAAGGAGGTAACAGAACACCACATACAATTTTGCTTCCTGATTACATTGAGCTTTGTCTATTTGTCAAGTTTTCTGACTTAGGCATCGGAGAGGTTTCCGGCACACACCCGCCGGCTAGCTCATGTTTGTGTTTCAGGTGACAAAGCGACGTCGTACGGAGAAGCGTGGACTTAGTCAACAGGATTATATGAGCAGAATTATTTCTTCCCCGTACACTTATGCACAATTTTTTTTTATCAGTTAGTGAAACAATAATCTGAAATACTACTATGCAAAATTAACAATGTTCTTAGTTTTAAAAATTAAGAAAACTGATAATATTCTCAGTTTTACAAAATAAGACTTATTAGTTCAAAAAATCTTAGATAGAACCTGAGCTACCATAATATTTGTGAATAGAACTTTTAAATAATTAACTCTTAATATTTTCATTCATCCAACTTATAAAATTAACCAATCTCTTTGCCTCTGCCCCAATACGATATGAGATGGAGTAGATTACTACAACTCGCCACAAATTTGACCCATAACCATATCTACTTTTACGTAGAAATGTAAAAAAAAAAAAAATTATAAATAATAAAATGAAATCTTTCATTTTTCTGTTCCACTTTTGAATTTTTTTATTTTTTATTTTTTACTGTATTAACCTTGATGACACTTTATACTCTCTCTTTATTTATCTCGTACGCAGAGGTAGCAGTCCTTGTATACTTGGCATAACACAAACATCTAAACAACTAGGACACCATTTTTATTTTCCTTTTAGCTTCTTCACATATGAAGGCCATGGCCATGGCCAAAGGAAAGATGTTTGTTCCCATGGTCTTTGTTTTACTACTTGTAGTGCATTATGTGGGTGGTGCTACATACGAAGTAAAAGAAGAAGAAGCTGAAGATGACCGAATACTGGGACTTCCTGGACAGCCAAAGGTCTCCTTTAAGCAGTATTCAGGGTACGTGACCGTCAATGAAGTAGCCGGTAGAGCTCTCTTTTACTGGCTCACCGAGTCTGTTCATCTTTCCTTTTCCAAACCTTTGGTTCTTTGGCTCAATGGAGGTTAGATTTCTCTCTCTCTCTCTCTCTCTCTCTCTCTCTCGGGTCTGGATTTGTTTTCAAAATCATGTCTCAAATGGGTCATTTGAAGTCATCAAGGCCATGTTTGATTGGTCTGCAAAATCTTGTCTCATCATCATCTTCATTTATTTATCTTAGAAGGGCTCATTTCAAGTCTTAACTAAAACTATTATATACCTTGACACTGTTGGATTGCTTTTCAGTTGTTTACTTGCCTTACTCGTCATATATTATGGGGAAAATTAATAAATTATTTCATTAATATGTAAAAGTGCTTGATTGATGTGTAGGACAGATAAAGTGATTTTGAATTTTTTTTTTCAAAATTACTAAACCAAACAAAATTTTAAATTTTTTTTTCTAAAATTACTCTCCCAAAAACAAACCAAACAAGGCAATAGATTTTTATCTTTATTTTCTATTTTTTGGCTAGAAAAAGAACATTATTAAAACGTAAAAGAAAATTTATATATGTCCTATATGCGTATGCAATGTTTCCTTTGAGCCCGTGACGATACAGTGCTCAATATTTGATTGTGAAAATAGAGATATCATTTTTTGCCCCCCTTCTATTGAAGAATTAACACATCCAATGATATCTATTTTAGATAATGTTAGGGATGTCAAATTTTTTACCAAATAAATGACCAAATGTCTTACATAGGTGTAGTCATTTATTTGGTAAAAATTTGGGACATATAGCATTTTTCATCTATTTTATGATAGGATCAACCCCTCCCCCCCCCAAAAAAAAAATGGAGTAAATTCTTGAGTTTTTATTTATCTATTTATGGGTACCTAGAATTATGGTTCAACAGTAATAATAATATACATTCACAAAAAGATCGTACACAAGCTGTATTGAGATTTATTATTTTTAAATATTGTGCTCATTAGTGACTTCCTAATTACAATGTCATTGACACTGAGCTGCTATGGCATCTAATTGTTAACAGGGAAGTTACTTCCAAAAGGATTAAGATCAAGCAGAAATGATTAATGTTCCTATTTCTCTAATAAAAAATCCAGAAAAATATATATATATATAATTATTTTTAAAAAAATAAATGATCTATATTTATTATAAATATGACTTATATTTTATTAATTTTAAATCTACATTACACATTCATTTTCGAGATAATATTCCCGACACAGTTTCATGTTGTATAGCATTGTTGTTTCTTCAATGGTTGAGGCACCAAAGTCTAACCCTATTTTCTTTCATTTCAAAAAAATGATTATATCAAAGCTTGAACATAGAGAGGGGTAGCTATATAGCTTTTGGAGTGAGAATATTCTATTTGTGAACATTAATTTCTTAAATAAGGAAAAGGTCTTTTGGTGGTGGGGAAATTACTGTACTCCCTCACTAAACCCAGTCTCTGACTCTCCACCTATAATGTGTTGATCCAAAAAATACATCATGACCTAACCACCGACGGACAAGTTTAAGACTACCCTCTCTCTCTCCTCTCTCTCTCTCTCTCCACATTTATATTGCATGGATAATTAGCAATGAAATTCAATGCTTGAAAGCAACCAAAATGAGGCCTCATTTATTGAGTCCTTTACCCATTACGTTTTTTTAAGTAACATTGTTAGGTATCATGAAATTTTTTTTATAAAAATTATCATGAAAGATTTGTGACTTTTGGATTACACTTATAACAAAGCATCTCACACTAATTAAGGTAATTTAAGGATCACAAATCTTTCATGAAAAAATTTTCATGATCCCTAACATTTCTCTTTTTTTTAGCTACACCTTCCCCATGTACGTAGTCAACAACCATATTTACTATAGTATAATTCTAGAATTTGAAAAAATTAGCAAAAATTATGTCTAAAAAAAATTGGAATTTGACCGACCCGACAAGATTCAAACTGTAATATTTTAACAAAAATGTTAGATATTTTAAAATTTTTTTAAAAATTGTATCAAATGTCTCATATAGGTGTAAAACGAGACTCACATTGTATGAGTCTCACACTCATGTGAAACATTTGATAAAATTTTTTATGTTTCTAACAATACTCATATTTTAATTGTTTCAAGTTAAAATTATTTGTTCGTTATCATTAACGGAACAAGAAAAAGTTAGATAATTTATTTCTTTTTTTTTTCTTTGGGGTGGTGCTAAATGGCGGAACAGGAAAGATATTAATTCTAAGTAGCCTCTGTTATGTCTTAACACGGCCTAAGCTTTTGTCATGTGGTTTGAATTTGAGTTTGATCAGCTACATAGAGCAAATTTTTTTCTTTGCTTACTTTTTTTTTTTTTTTTTTTTTTTTTTTTTGATCAGCGAAGAAAAATTATATTAAAAAGTATAAAATTAAAAATACAGAAAGATAACAGAAATCGAGAGAGATTCGAGATAGTACAGATTATCCCTACTACTGCTATTCGTAACCATCTAACGAACCCCTCGGCCTCACGAAATAAAAGATTAAACAAAAAAATAAAGAGAATTAAGAAGAACTTAACACCAAACACCAAACCCAAATCCCCTAACACACCAACCCAACCACTGCAAACCCAAACAGGACAAACACCCAAACAGGACCTCCACCCAAGCAGAACAAACACCAAACATCAACCACTGCTAACAATGAAAAAAAACCCATCAACCCTCTAGAATAAAAAAAAAAAACCCTTACAAACCAAACACACCACTACGACACACCCAGCACAGAACCACCACTAACCAATACAACCCGAGACCCATCAAGAGATTAAATACAATGCACCCCACTAACTCTCACTCTCTCTCCCTTACACCAGCTAAGTTTTCTTTCTGATTTTGGCTTTGTTCCTCATCTCCATCTCGATAAAATCCTTCAGGAAAATGTCTTCTCTACCACCAAAATCGATCTGCAATTTCTGGCCCATTTGTAAGGTTTCTTTTGCTTCAGCCAAAAGGAGTCTAAACTCCTCTTCCTCGTCTTCATCTTGCTGTTCCAGTTTCTTTGCTTACTTACCTCCTAACAAAGAAACAAAAAACAAAAATAAATAAATAAAAGAACAAAAAATTGAAAAAACAATTCTTTCTTGAGAGACTCATGTCATATAAGTTTCTAATGTGTTATATTGTGCATACATTAGTATAGATCACTTTTGATATGTCATTTGGGATTAAAATTTGTTGATTTCACTTGATGTTAACTTTATTCCTTTGTTTTATTTCTCTATATATATGGTTAAATTGCAGGTCCTGGATGCTCTTCTGTGGCATATGGTGCATCAGAGGAAATAGGACCTTTCAGAATAAACAAAACAGTCGCAGGATTATATCTTAACAAATTCTCATGGAATACTGTAGCAAACCTATTGTTCCTCGAAACTCCTGCCGGTGTCGGCTTCTCTTATAGTAATAGGACATCAGATCTCCATGACACCGGTGATCTTCGCACCGGTATAACCCACAACCTCCTCTCATTGCCATTTTTCACTTCCAAACTTCGAAAAATTTACAAATATAGAAGGATTTTTTTTAAAAATAAAGAAGGATTTTTTTTTTTTTTTTTTTTTTTTCCGGTGGTGTCCCTAGCGTTATTATTGTTTTTACTTATCTAAGGCATATTATTAGAGTGTCCAAATTGGTAGGGCATGTTTAAAGTGACTAGTAAGACTGAGTTGTGATGAATATTGGTGTTGCACTTTGAACATTGCATGGCCACAAATTAATCTGTTGTTGACCACCTTTAGCAAATAAATTAAGACAGGACAGGAATGGTTAACATTGCTCAAGTAGGGTGAGACATCTATATGTGGTCCCTTTGGGGACATTCATGGAGTCAATGCTGCATCAGCTATCATCCACCTTATGATATTTCACAGTAGAATGATTTTTATTTTTTTTGGTCCAATATTAATAGTATGAGTAATAATATTGCAATGGGAGATTAATTGTTATATATATGCAGCGAAGGACTCTCTGCAATTCCTAATCCGATGGATGGAACGGTTCCCACGTTACAAAAGCCGAGAAGTATATCTCACCGGAGAGAGCTATGCCGGCCATTATGTCCCTCAGCTGGCTAAAGCAATTGTCACCTACAATGCCAACTCTAACAACCACCCTATAAATTTGAAAGGATTTATGGTATTTCATCAGTCATATATATGTCATATTCTCATTTTTAAAAAAATCTAAAAATGATCTATTGTTGACAAATTTGTTTTGATTCAAAAACCCATTTTAAATTTCAATGTTCAGTTCATGATTACTTGTGAATATATAAGAGAAAAGAATATTTGTATTCACTGGACTTAGTAATTTACTTTGTGAGTTTAGGATCAAGTTATTTTATTTTATTTTGAACTTTGTCATCTTTAGTAATTTTTTAAAATTTATGTCAAGGTTTATTAATTTTCACATCTGTCTAGAGTAGATAGATCTAAAAATAAAAATAAATCCAAAGTTTTAATTTTTTTAAACTTTTTTGGTCTATCTACTCGAACATCAACCAAAAAAAAAATATATATATATATATATTTTTGGTTTTTTTTCCCAAACATCAACCAAAAAAAAAAAAAAAAATTATTAAAAACTGAATCTCAAACACACCTATGAGTTCGTTTGACAAGTGATATTTTGGTTAAAATATGAGTGAACAAAATTGAAATATTTGAGAATAACTTCTTAATTTTTTATTACTAAAAACATACTAAAATAGAAAGAGTGAAAATGAATCTTTGAATTTTTTTTTGTAGAGTAACAATAAATAAACAAAAAAAATTATATATATTAATATGACTTAATAGTGACTTTCCACTTTAAAATATATACTCATAAAAATTATTTATATTTAACAATATCAATACCACATTATTATTTTTTTGAGGCTTTTTTGTATGAATAGAATTTTCCATTTTTTATGGCTTTTTCTAATAGCTTTTTAATTTTTTTTATTCACTTCTTAATTTCTTTGGTTAAAATAACTAATTGCCAAACCACTCCTAAATGGGCATTGGAATGCAGGTTGGCAATGCAGTGACAGACAACTATTACGACAACCTCGGAACAGTGACATACTGGTGGAGCCATGCCATGATCTCCGACAGAACATACCGGCAACTAATAAACACTTGCGATTTCAGCCACCAAAAGGCATCGAATGAGTGCGAATCATTGTTCAATTATGCGATGGATCAAGAATTTGGAAACATTGATCAGTACAACATTTATGCACCCCCTTGCAACAACTCCGATGGAAGCGGCACTCAAACTGGCCGCCATACCATACATTTGCCTCTGTAAGATAAATTGATAGAGAGAGAAGGAGAGAATAATTTGTATTGATGAATATTGTATTGAATGTTATATGAATAAAGAGGTACACTCTCCGTTATATAGGAGAGAAAATTACAAACATCATCATGCCAAAAGTGGATCCACTAACCGAAAGTAAAGGCACTAATCTAAAGCCTAAAGCACTAACATAAAATATATTAACAGCCTCATCGACCCCATCCGGTATATGAAAATCGTTATATATATATACAGAAGAAGAAGAATTTAGATCAGCAAGAACAAAATGAATATATTTTTCTTACTGACATAAGTGCAATAGTAGTGATTAACAAAAATCTGTAGGATTTTATTAGTTTGTATAGTTTTACTCCCACACTATTATTTGTAGTCTTGTTTGACAAAGCTTGTTTATAGTTAATTTACCTTAAATTTTAAAATCACTTACTTAACTAATTATACTTTGAAAAGATACTTGGTGTTTGATAATTTTTTTTATTTTTTATTTCAATTTGTTTACTTTCCAGTTCAAAAACTGGAAATAAGAGCAAAATGCCAAGTTGGGTTAATGATAACTTTTTTAAGCCAGATTTTTTAAGTTGTTGGCAGCTTAAAATTTCAATACCCAACTTTAAAAAAGTTCTTTTTTAAAAAAAAAAAATTTTGAACTGAAAAAAGGAAAATGATTTTTTTTTAGCCCAAAAAAAGTAAATAAATTAGTTGAGATTATGAAAAATCTTACCAAACAATAAATATTGTCAAAAAAGTACAACAACTAAAACCACCATTTTCAACACTTTGTCAATAAGTTTACCAAACTGAATATCACATAAATGATAATGACTAGTAAACTGCAATTATTATTATTTCCTAAAATATGAAATTATTAATCTCCTTTTGTAATTTGGTCAGATATTCAGGCAGATATCAGGGTATGATCCTTGTACAGAAAAGTATGCAGAGATTTACTACAATAGGCCAGATGTGCAGAAGGCTCTCCATGCCAACTCCACCAAAATTCCATATAAATGGACTGCTTGCAGGTTATTTTAATTTCCATTTTCATTATATATTGAAATATTTGAATTGCCATTTCTTTTAACTATGATCACTAGGTGCTAATGAAAAATGTTTAAAAAAAAAATTTACAGCCTAGAATTAAATGGAAATTGGAACGACACAGATATATCGATTCTTCCCATATATCGGGAATTGATTGCTGCTGGTTTGAGAATTTGGGTTTTCAGGTTGGCAAATTTCAATTTATTACTCCTATATATAATCACCATCACCTTTCTAAATTAAATATCAATATGGTTATGCATTGAATGTACTTAGACAACTTATTTCTTTTTTGGTTGTCAAAATTTTCTATTCTAGCGGCGATATCGACTCGGTAGTACCAGTGACTGCCACTAGGTACTCCCTAGCACAACTCAAGCTGCCTACCAAGATTCCATGGTACCCTTGGTATGTTAAGAAACAGGTTAGTAACTAGTACTTTGGGTTTTCAATGTCATAACTTATAGTGATGTTCTAAATATGGAAATTTTTAGAGAAAAGTGCACAAAATGCAGTATTGGTAACACCGATCTTGTTGGACTGTGAGCCCCATTCCAGATGAATACAGTGCTGCTACTATTGCATTTTGTATATTTTCTTTTTCAAAAATTGTGTATTTATTGTTATTGCATATAACTTAATAAATGTGGGTTTTTTGGGGGGTTGGTTGATGAAGGTGGGAGGGTGGACCGAGGTATATGAAGGGCTAACATTTGCAACAGTGAGAGGGGCAGGTCATGAAGTACCACTTTTCAAGCCAAGAGCAGCCCTTCAACTCTTCAAATCATTTTTGAGAGGGGAACCCCTTCCAAAGTCTTGAAACATTTATATATATATATATATGATCAGAAGAATGTGTGTTTTTTTTTTTTTTTTTTTTTTTTTATGTATTAACTGCACTATAGGTAGGTATAGAACATTTATTTCAATTATTAAAATATATATATTGGAGTGGGGGGCAAGGAAGAGAATTGAAAAGAAAGAATTGTACAGGAGGAATGGAGTTGGCTTTTGTTTGTAACTACATGTATTGGTTTCAAGCTTTGTTAGTTCTTCAGGAGAAATAATCAAAAAAAAAAAAAAAAAAAGGAAAAGAAAGGGGAAAAAAAGGAAATAGTGTGCGGAGAAGGTAAGCACTAAGGGAACTGGCAAATTTAAAAAAAGAAAGCCACCAAACCCTTTTAGAAAAAATAGAGGCTGCAACAAAATGCCTAACATCAATCTTCAACGCACTTTCCCCCAACTTAGACGTCAGAAATTTCTGGAGAACAGCTAACTTGGGAGCTAATTCCTTTGCTGCAGGCCCACAAAAAAAAAAAAAAAAAGAAGGAAAAAACGGCTACGATCCAGTTGATGTCATATGTACGGGAAAGAAATAGACCTTCTCGTATAATTCTATTGATCAAGTCTGCGCTCCTCCGTACGACGTCGCTTTACTTCCTGAAAACACAAACGTGAGCTAGCCAGCAGGTGGATGCCGGATACCTCTTCGATGCCTAAGTCAGCAAAATAGACAAATAGACAAAAAGCTCTGTGTATTCAGGAATCAAAGTTGTGTTACCTCTCCATAGGTAATGTTGTGAGCTTTTATAAGTTCCGTGTGGCACAATCCTAGTAGGACTCTTACTCCTCTCTGTAGAATCCTCCTAGGAGTTACATTCCCGAAAGATAATGCTTATTCTTCAACACCCCCCTCACTACTTAAACCAAGTGAGATGGTTTTACCATGGTCGGACCCCAATATAACCAAGGTAAGCATGGTTATGTTGAGCCGCAGAGTAGACCGAACTAAAGCCAGTTCGGTTTCTTCCATTCACTACTCTTACCTCGGCTTCTCCTCTACAAACCATGGTATGTTTGGACCGAGCTAAGAAATAGCAAGGTTTTGACCGAGCTAACCGCAACATGCCACGACCGGGCTAATTCTGAGTGTGATGACCAAGCTATCCACAAATCTCTCCCAGACCGGGATAACAACAAGCCTCTCTAGACCGGGATAACAATAGGGCTTTCTGGGACCGGGCTAAATTCAAGCCCCTTTTCATCCAGCTCTTCTTACCGTGCCCAAAGAACGGCCCATTACCCAGCTCGGCCCAATTCACATATAAATTACCCTCTCAATTGCCTCTTAATTCCATCTGTGCAACATGATAGGGATTACCTGCCTACCAGCCGAGCTAAAAACTTTAGCCTTACGACCGGGCTAAACTCTTTCGCCCTTTCAGCCGAGCTAAAAACCCTTTAGCCTTTGCAGCCGAGCTAAAACTTTTTAGCCTTTCCAGCCAAGCTAAATTTACACTGGATTCTATCTGTCCGGTCAAAACGTCCCTTCAATCACAGCAACTGAATCGTTTTTTATTCCAATGACACGTGGTATACTCTCATTGGCTGAAGGTAGCTGTCACACCGTCTTCATACCTCGTGTTTTTTGAACAGTCCCGCCCAAATTTTGAGCCTTCCATCAAAACAAACCCTTTCTTTCTCTTTTGAATCACTCACACCACTATTCATCTCCTTCTCTCTCTTCGAGCCTCTATTGTTCTCCAACTCTGCAACTGTGAAGCTCGTGTCCATTGCTGTTTTCTACTTCCAGTTCCTTCCTCTTAATCCTGTTAAGTAACATAAATCTGTTCTCTTTTTACACTTTATTTTTTTACAAATCCACAACATATTGTTTATGTGTCTTTGCAAAACACATTTTTGCATTTCCTTGCGTTTTTTGGGAAAAACCTTACAAGAACCACTTGTATTTCACTAAGCAATCTGTAGAACACTATATTTGACCCAAAATCACAATATAACCGAAATAGAAAGTTGTTTGTAGTTGATGTCAATCTAGCCAGACTACCAACCGGACTAGTACTTCATGCTAAACTAGTAGTTTCATCAGGTCAAACCACCTTTTGTTTCATTTATCTTAGCTGGGCTATTGGACCATACTAATGCTTGCGCAATACCGCGCTTGAATGCCTCAACCACGACCGAACTACAGCTTGGGGCTAAACCAGCCCTCTTAGTTTGGACTGAACTAAGAACGCTGCCCCTAGAAGCTCAGCCGGGCTAAAAAACCCTTGTTCAAACCGAGCTAAGATCCGTAGCATTTCACCTAACCGTGCTAGGTCTTCAATTATCTTGCCTTTGTTTCTTTTTAGCACGGTCCACTCGATCTGTACTTAACACCTTTGTTTTTCACTTTGTAGACTTAGGCTGTCCAGGCACTCCTTTGAGCGCTCAACCGAGCTACTCAGCACCATTCTTCGCCCGAGCTAATACTCGAGTTTAATTTATTCATAACTTAAACCATAAATGGGAAAGTATAGATTTTTAGTAAACTCACCAGGGGCCATAGCCAAATTTTGTAAGGACTACCAAATTTCAGATGATGTCCACATTTCCCTAGCTGAACCAGAATCCGTTCCTTGGGAAAGGCAAGGCTTTGTCCCTTTTAATGTTATTTCAATCGTAGAGTGCGGTCTACGTTTCCCCGTACAGCCCCTCCTCTGTGAATTCCTTAGGCAAACCAAGCTCTGCCCTACCCAACTTTCTACCAATTCCTACCGTATAATAAACAGCATTACCGCGCTAAACGACATGGCTAGTCTTAACCTCGGCCTAGCCGAGCTCTTTCATCAATACTCCATAGGATCGGCCGAAGATGGCTGGGTTTACTACTTACGAATAAGGCGCCGGCGTGAAAAAATAATAAAGGATACCCTGGATAAAGACGTGAACGATGATGATTTTTTCTGGGTATCTGAAAATTTTGAAGACCACCAAGCCCAGATCCCAGGCCATAGAATAAATTGGAACAAGGGTGTAACCAGTAGGGTTACCTCGGCCAAATTCCACAATTTTCTTTTACCTCGGTTTTCTCATCTTAAACCGTACTAACTGTTTGTCTTTTTTATGCAGATTCGAACTTCCTCAAGTCCTAATACAGCTACCCCAACCTCAATACACTTCGCACCGCCCTGCGATATCCAAACCGAAGTTGGACCGAGCTACTGGACTTTCAACCGACCTATCGATATAGTGGCAAACGGAAGACCAAGGTAACTGATTTCTTATTGGAAGCCTCTCCTGAACCGGACCCAAACTTGCCTCAAATCAGATTGATCCCTTTAACTGCTGAGCAAGAGATAGCCAAGAAGAGAGCCGTGCGAGCCCTTCTGACCGAAACAAATCCGACCGAGGTATCGCTAGCCGATCAAACTCAAGAAACTATAGTAGCTCTGCCAACCCACCAGCCTTCGTCATTGCGGCCAAGCAAGCGTGCTCGGACTTCCACAATCGAGCCACGCCTCGTTGATGAAGACGAAACCGTGGTTCCACAATCAACTCCGCCAAGCCCTCTGCCGAGCCCACAACTGGAGCGCTCTGACCGAGCTATCTCCTCCAAGTGGGCTCCAAAAATCACCTTTCAGAATCTTGCTATCACGGATTCTGACTCAGTGGTCGTAGAAAAAGACCACCTGATGGCATTCAACCTGGCTAAAGGTGTTTGTCTTCCAGCCAACATGAGGCACCACAACCACCTGACCGAGCTGCAAGGCCTTCGCTCGTCCACAAAATCCATGGTGTTGGTAAGTTGCCCTTTTACTTTCTTTTTTTTTTCTAAAGAACTTTTTCCAACTTTCAGCTCGGTTATATTGAAAAAGTGTCTTACCATCCTTTTGCAGGCCATTCAGAAAAACCACATCGCTCATAAGCGAGTGTTGGAACTTCGAAAAACTACCAGGCAAGCCATGGCCGAGGCAAATGAAAAGGCGGCTGAGCTGAAAGTATCCCAGCAGAAGGTGGCCGAGCTGGAGACCGAGGTAACGCGTCTCGCTGGGCTAGTTACCTCGGCTGATGCTGATAAACAGAAGGCCCTCGCCATGATGAAAGACAAATACTTGCGCGAGTTGGCCAAGCTTGAAAGGAAAAAGGATGCCAAAATAACCAAGCTCGAAAAGAAGCTGGAAGATGCGGAAGACCGTGGCTTTAAAGAAGGCGAAGCTCTGTATCTTAAGCAGTGTAAAGCTGCAAAGGACCTCTTCTTTAAGTGCGGATGGAGGGGTGCCGTGGTGCAGCTCGGTCATGGGCCTGAGACCGAGGTCTTCAATCCTCTTCAATACTTCATACCGAGCTCACTTGCAGAGTATGTTGCCACCACTCAGCAACAATTTCTTGAAGATCCGGATGATGAAGAATAAACCGTGCCCAACGATACCCCGGTCGTCAATGAACCTGCCAATCAGTTAGCTCGGGCGGAGCCAATGGTGGAAGACCTGACTGTGGAACTACCAACTGAAACCGTGCTTCCAACCGAGACCCTACTCCCGACCGAAACCGAGCTTCCAATTGAAATCGGGCTGCGAGTTGAACTTGATGTTGATCTTGATGATCTGTTTGCCTGACTTTGCATTTCTCTTCTTTTTGCTTGATTTCTGTATTTTCTTTTCTTTGCTTTTGGGCACAAATTGTAACCGGGCTGAGGCCCCACCCTTTGTACTTGTTTTGAATTTTCAATGAAGTCTGCTTTCAAGTTCCAACTCTTATTTCGGTTGATCTCTATGCTTGTACTTTACTTTCTAACTGAAGTCTTGGATGAGGTACAACATTCTCTTACCGAGATACTTTATCCTGGTCTTAACATTGCAACTATAAGTATACCTGCGAACCACTCTTTAGCCGAGATCTTTACCTCGGCTGAAGATTACCAAGAGTTGGTTTAATCCAGCCAACCACTCTTTAGCCGAGATACTTACCTCGGCTGAAGAGTACCAAGAGTTGGTTTAATCCAACCAACCACCTCTTTAGCCGAGATCCTTATCTCGGCTGAAGAGTACCAAGAGTTTGTTTAATC